TTTGTGGCAAGGACATGTTCATGTTATTATGTTTCATTTGATCCTTAAAGGCTGAAAGTACATCAGAATTTCTATTCTATGGGTTAAGTAGTTTTGGGAAGGCTAAACCCTTTTTGAGGTTAGCTGACGAACAGAAAAAAAAGAAAAAAAAGAAAAAAAAGAAAAAAAAAGAATTACTAGCTGTTGCTGTGTATTAATTTTTTTTTGAATGTTCTCCATTCTTTTTCATTATCCACAGTCTTATAGATATATAGCAGTAAAAAGGGGGGAGAAGAAGAAGAAGAAGTCTACTAACTAGTTAGTTTTGGGTTGAATCTACAGCAATGTTGTCAACAATCAACTTGAACCTCCAAATTCCAATCTCCTTGGTAATAATTGACTTAAATTGAAATTTAATTATTATATAAATTCCTATTTTTATTGAATAGGTGGTAATTCTGATGAATATGTGATAATGATTTAAAGAGTGGATCCTAATTCCGCATATGTTTTGTATTGAGTGTTTACATAAGCACCTGCAATGTGAGCACATGCAGAGAAGATATACTACTACACGTGGCTTTTTATTCATGCCTTTTTGTTTGCTTTTTTATTTTTCTGGATTCCCTTTTAGACATTTGCCACGTGGCTGTTCAGTAATGGAGCCCCTCCATTGAAGATGAATGAGGCAACAAGTGCAAAAATTGTAAAATGCTCAGAATCTATGTGGAAACTAGCATACTATACTGCTGTTGAAATATTTGTTCTCAAAATCACTTATCAAGAGCCATGGTTCAGAGATACAAAAGGGTACTTCAGAGGCTGGCCAGATCAGGAGTTAAAGTGAGTAATTGTATGCTTGGACTTTTATCCAATTATTGAATTGATGAGCAGTCTTAGTATTTTTCTCTGAGCTTAACCAGTGACCAGTGTTAGTATTAACTGAGAGAGATGATCTTTCTGTTCTGTAGCCAAATCTCATCCTTCTGCATCTATTATTGTTTATTGTATCATATGCTCTCTCTTAGTCACTCTCTTTTGGGGAAAAAGTTGTGCTGTGCTTTTTCTGCTGGGTATTTAACTTTCAAGCAATGATCTGCTTTGTAACATTTTATTGGCATTTGAAATTAGGTTTTCTTACATGCATGCAGTATGTCCATCCTGTTCTCTTATTTCTTATGTTTTACTGCACTTTGTAACAAGAGTTGTGACTAGGAAAATTGTTTCAAATTTGCCTCAAAGCACACTATAATATGCACCGCACCTCAAATGATCATTGTGAATGCTTGATCAAGATTTTCTATGTTTCAGACATAATTTTGTCTTTTGACTTTTTTAAATAATCTGGTCTCTATGTCCCAAGTACAATAAATTTCATATGTCAAGACAGACACATCATGTCTACTTAATAACCTTTACACTGTTGGCTTTCTCTTAGTTTTTTCTTTATATGTTAATGGCTAAACTTGTCATAATCCATTCTCTTGTTTACATTCTCAATGTCTTCTTTAAATCTAGAATATATTTTTATTTTTATTTTTTTTGTAAATTTAATATCTTCTTATGTATTTTTAATCCGTAAAAGTAATATTATGACTAAATTCTTAAGAGCTTTGTGTTGCCTAATGAAGTCAAATGCTTCATCTAATTCATTAATATTTGAGGAAACTGACAGGGGGATTGTGTTTAGGTAGGTGGGAGTGTGTCTGCTATGACTTTTATTTATTTATTTATTTATTTTATTTCAGGCTTCCTCTACAGCTTTTTTATATGTGCCAATGTGGGTTCTACATCTATAGCATTGCTGCCCTCCTTGTTTGGGAAACTCGAAGGAAGGATTTTGCTGTCATGATGTCTCATCATGTAATTACTGTTATCCTGATTGGTTACTCATATATTACGAGGTAATACCAAATTTTCTTGGTATACCATTACTTTACTCACAACTGATAGCAGAAAGGAAAATGTTTTTAATACTCACTGTTTTTAATTGGTGGGCATGGCATATTGTATTCTTATCCTCATTAGTGGTTCAATGTTTTCAATCTTTATAATTTATCTTTACATCTTATGTCTTGCCTGTGAAGATTATAGTTGAAAGGTTATATGATAAACTAATGAACTATTTTATCTTTTGTAGTATAGAATGTGTGTAACTATTTCTTAAGTTCCAATAAGTTCTTATCATCATGGGCTGCTGTAGATGGTGATTTGCTTTTTGTGGAATGTAATTATGTAGACATGGTAGATTCATAATGCTATGTGGACTCAGCTTTAGTTCAGGATAGTGTATAATCTTTCTTTAAGTTTTTCACTAGTATCTGTGTTCCACCAAGTTATTCTCATAGGGCTGTGATCAGTTATCATTGCAATAATACACTCTTATTATACTCGTTATCCTTTTAGCTGTCAGTGGTGCCCCCCTGCTCTATATGTTTGATGGGGCTTTAAGCATGGTATTTATGCTTGTTTTTCACTGAAAATTTGTGATGTTTTAACTGGCAATTGGTTGCTTTCATTAGGATTATGAGTTTGTAAGAGAATCCCTTGAGGGGAGGAACTTCTTGAGACTGATGTTTCATGTTTTTTTCATTAGAATATGTTCCTTTCAATAAATCCTAAATCTAAAATTTTCTTTTACCCATCAATATCTAGTCAGAAAACAAATTATAACTTGCCCATTTACAGGTTTTTCCACATTGGCTCAATTATCCTAGCCCTGCATGATGCAAGTGATGTGTTTATGGAAGCTGCTAAAGTTTTTAAATATTCTGAAAGGGAGCTAGGAGCAAGTGTGTGCTTTGGATTGTTTGCTATCTCATGGCTATTGCTAAGACTAATATTCTTTCCATTTTGGGTTATCAAATCTTCAAGGTTTGCCGTTGCCCCTATGGTAAAATAATTTTACTTCACAACATCATTTCCAGTAGCCTTACTTAGCTGTTGTTGTGGTTGGCATTTTGCAGCTATGATATTCGAGAGTTTTTGAATCTATCACAACCCTACCCCACATCACTATATTATGTTTTTAATACAATGTTACTGATGCTACTTGTGTTCCATATCTACTGGTGGTTTCTCATATGCGCAATGATCTTGAGACAGCTGAAAAATAGAGGAAAAGTTGGTGAAGACATTAGATCTGGTTAGTGTCTTTTATTTTTTTTTAATTTTTTTTCTACATTATTTATAATTCCCACTAAAAAAAAAACTCTTGCTTATGATGTCTATTAGATTGTTTGTCGAATCGTATGGCATGCTTCTTGGGTAATCGATGCATTGTTTACATTAATTGCATTGCTGGTGACAATTTTCATATCCTAATTCATGTGCAGACTCTGAGGAGGAGGATTAGGTGGAAGAGTTTTTGGAAAACTATTTTCTTCTTGCTTGCAATGTAGCCCAGAGGAGATTGTAGATTACCCGATGCACTCAATAGGCCGTTACCAGACGAGTAAAATTTTTGTTTTTTGCTAGAAAATTTTCTTCAATTTTTCTTGGGGTAAAGAGAGGACGCTTGAATTCATTTTGCTGTACAAATAAATAGGTGATTCCTGAAAATTTATTTTCTTTAAATAAACTCTTTGTTTGGACTGAGACATCACAAGCAGTATTGAGCAATGAATAGAAGGAAAGGCCTTTTTTTTTTTTCAACTTTTCCCACCCCAGTCT